CCCCTAGACAAAAAAAAAAAAAAAAAAAATCTGATGTGGGGTGTTTTTCATGCGCCATACACGTGGAATATAATTCTTGAATAGTATAATACTTCTCTTTAAGCTCGCACATTTTTGTGACCAGTATTTCTTGTGGCCAAATCTGTAAAAAGCTTGGAACTCCATCTTAACTTTTGGCTCAGCTACTGTTCTGTATTTTAAACACGGGGCATTTTGTTTTAAATTGAAATCACAAATTTTTGGAATCTAATTTCACTGATATTGCAGAATTCTGGTTCCGCAATTCTTTTTTTTTTTCCTTTTCCTTCACATTGTATTGTACTTCAAATAGAAATCAAGCGTTCATTGAAAATTAGGGTTATACATTCGTCTACAAATATAGTTCGTAAGAATGACTGTCGAGTCAAAGGAAAAAAATAGTTGTGACCCGATGATGGACCCTATATTTGAATTAACCAATTCTAAGTGTTCTTGCATTAGTACAGTCAGAAGCGGACTTAGAGTGTCGGAGTGGGTACAATTGAATCAATACTTCTAGCATAAAATTGGGAATAAAGTAATATAACTTGGTATTAAGGGTTAACCCATATTTTTAAAGAAATTAGAATTTCGAACCACTTCAATTTAAATCCTAAATCTACTTCCATACTTTTAAGGTACCAAATGGGATAGGATGTCTGCTGGGAATGGCACAACTAGTGATATATGCCATTTACCGAAAGGGTAAATCAGTGAAACACATAGCAAACTTGGAGGAAGGAGGGCAGATAGAGCATCTTCTTCCAACTTCTGCCTCCACAAATATTGGAGAGGGAAATTAGCAAGTGCAATGGCAAATGGGTTCGTGCTTTCTGCCACCATGCATTGAAAGCACCAACTTTTACTGCTTCTCTATGGATGGAGTATATTCTACTTTATCAATCTGTTTCACTTAATTTAGTTCTTCAATTTTCTTATTCTCCACATAAAGTTTGAAGCTAGTTGCTGATACTCTTTTTATTGTGTTTTCTTCTTTCTCAATTCTATGGTACTAGTAATATTTTTCCAATTCAAAAAGCTACCTATAGCTTTTGTTTAGTTAATCTACTACTATTTTTAATTACTTCAAAACATAGTGAACAAGAAGCTGAAAATGTCGCTATATGACATATGATTGCTTTAGTGTTTCTTTTTCATTACCATGTTTGCAATGATGCTCTGGTGTAAGATGAAACGCAAGAGGGGAGGGGTAAATTGTGACCAATTTAAAAACTCAGTTGACTAGAGAAAGTAATAGTGACTTCTCTTTATCAGATGGTTAGAAATTAGCCGAAGCAAATTGTGCAAGAATTAAAATAGTAACGACTCAGAAGTTTTATACTGGTTCAGTACTTACATCCAGTTCCCTTGCGTCACATGAGTTCTCTTGGATCTTCAATAGTTGAGTCGTTACAATAGTTGTGGTTTTAGTTCGTTCATCACTAACAATATTCGACAACAATGATAGTTTATGCTTGACACAAATTCTTATTTGTTTTCTAACTCTTTCTATCTTTTGTGACTCTCGTAAACTCATGAATACAATGTTTGTACTAGGAATTAGAAAGATATAGAAATATGTATTAAGTTGCGTAGTCCTTCTTTCTGTCTTTCAGTTCTTCTTATATGTACGACTTGTGATCTTGCGACTTGTGATCTTCTCTTGAAATTGCCGTTGCCAATTGACCATTGATTAAGGCAATAATATTCTAAGAGATTTGACCCAAGAGTTGCATCTGAATCCAACTCATTAGGAAGGCTGGATTCACTGATCTTCTTTCCTTCTTGCGTTCTTGATTTTCAAGAGTAATATGCGACACATCTTGATTGATCTTGATCACTCTAACCTTTATCAAAATCTTTTGATTTCTTTCTTTATCAACTCTCCTTAATTTACAAACTGATTGCTTATCATTTTTACTTTAGTGATCGCCTAGAGTAGCTGCATTTAATCTCTTTCCTTTTGATGTCTTTAGCAGTTGCATAGGTTTCCTAATTTCCGACAATCAATTAGAGTTGGTTAGATTTGTACTATTGTCATCATTAAAACTTAGATGTAATTCCCTCTGTCCCGTTTTATGTGATGATGTTGACTAGCTACTTATGAAATTCAAGTAGAGAGAGTTTGAATTCTTGAAACATCTCCCAAACGGCTAATTTCTCAATACTTCTGGTCCACGCGCCACCAGATGGAGCCGTCGGAGGCCTCCAACCGGCGCGTCTGGAAGGCACCAGCAAGCTAAAGAGGATTCCTCTCATATGCAAGGAATCCTTTCCAGAAACACCTCTTATGCAGATAAAATCTCAGCCCCCTCTAGCTCCTCGCCGATCGATCTCAAGCTAGAAAAAAGAAGGTGAAAGCTAGACACACTACTCATAACGGTATGCCTGCTGTTATCTTCAAAGCAACTGATTACTATGGTATAATGGCTGAATCTTGCAAATTTATAATTGTGGATCGATTTCTAAGACCCCATCCCCAAATCGATAGAATTAGGTCAAGATTCAAGGAAATTGTTTCTCTTAAGGGGTCAGTTAGAATTGGGTTTTTTGATAATCATAATATTTTTATTGACCTATTTAATGAGGAAGAATGGAAATCAGTTTGGTTTAGGAGGATTACTGAAACTGATGGTATGCAAATGTGGCTACAAAAATGGTCTCCAGATTTTAAGCCAGAGGAAGACTTACCAGTGGCTCTGGCGTGGATTCTCTTGCCTGGTTTACCATTTCATATGCACGTATGTCAAACAACTCCTAAGTTCTGTTGGAACACCTCTTGCATTGGACGCTGCCACCATGGGAAGAACAAGGCCAAATATGGCTAAAATTAGAGTTGAAGTGGACCTGCTGAAGCCACTGCCTCAAAGTGTATTTGTTCGCCAAGAATATGAAGATTCTCCTCTCAAAGTCTACACTCAAAAATTGGAGTATGAAGGAGTCCCAAAATATTGCAAATACTATAGAAAAATTGGTTATTACATGATCAATTGCAGAGCTCTGGAGAAAAAGAAAGTTGAAAATATTCAAGAAGAAGAGAAGTAGAATCAAGGTATTGATCATCAGTCAACCAAACAACAAGAGGGGAGCAAGGCTAATGAGAGTAGCAAAATCTCAAAATCTGCCGAATCCAGAGAACACTCAAAACAACAAAATGAAGAGGTCATTCGCAACAACAAAAAGGATAAAAAGAAGAAGACAGAGAAGAAGAAACCTAAGAAGTTTCCAAAAAAGAAGAGTAAAGTTGTGTTTATACCATGTAACAGTAAACAAAGAGAAGAAACTGTTTCAGCTGCAAAACAAAATGACTTCTCAAGGCAATCCACTAAAGAAAGCATACGCAGCCCAACAACAAAAAAACAACGACTACCAATAGGAACAAACTGTTGAGAATATCAACAAGAATTCTTCTGAGAATTTGAGTGAGACTAATAGAACAGGGGATCAACAACTTCAAAACAGAATTACTCAAACTAATCAAGAAGACAACAGTGAAGGGATACAAGGTCAAGAGCAGTGTGGTGACCCCAGATCTTCTACTGTTCTAACATAAATAAAGAATCTCTCGGGACTTCAACTTGCTGTAGACTTATATGAAAACAAGGAAGAGTGTAACATTCCTAATCAAGAAGATGACCTTTTTGATAGCTGGCAAGGAGTAGAACAATCGAACAGCCAACAAGAGGGGAGAAAAGAAGATCAAAATTCCCATACCATTACAAAAGATCAACAACAGAATAACAGGAGAGGAAGAAGTGAAATCAGGAAAATTAGTAGAAGAAACAGGAACATAACTCATCCTTCTATGAGGAGGAACCAAAAGGAAGATAACCCCCCAAATGATCTTAATGATTAGTACTCTATTTTGGAACATTAGGGGAGTTAGATTCAAAAAGCCATTCATAGGATAAAGAAATTGATTAACATTAACAACTCTCAATACGTGGCTATCTTTGAACCTTTTATCTCTAATGATAAATTAGAGGGGTACATGAAATTCTTGGGTTTCCAACATTGTTGCTGCAATAATATTGGCCAAATCTGGTGCTTCTAGAATTCCTACAACACTACTACAACCACTACCATCAGCGATCAACATATCACAATCAACTTTCACAATGCTATTGGTATGAAGGACATATATATTACTGCAATTTATGCTAAATGCAAATCCATAGATAGAAGGGACCTATGACAATCTCTTGAACTAGATAATATGGTGGTTGATGTCCCTTGGTGTGTGGGAGGGGATTTCAACATAATCATGGATCCTAATGAAAAACTAGGGGGTAAACCTCACAGAATGTATAAAACTTTGGAATTTCAAACTTGTATCAACAACTGTGGCCTCATTGACATTGGTTACAATGGTTCTAATTATACTTGGTGCAATAACAGAAGACATGGGAAGAGAATCTGGAAAAGGCTTGACAGGATCTTTGTTAATGATCATTGGGATCAATTGTTTCAAAGAACCTCTATTAGACATCTGACTAGGACAGGTTCAGATCATAGACCCCTTCTTATGAAGAATATGGATGCTGATAATCAACACATCAATTATTTTAGATTTCTGAATTGTTGGTTAACATAGAGGGATTCTTTGATATAGTGAATGAATCATGAAATACAGAAGTGGTTGGGAATCCTATGTGGATTCTTCAAAGTAAGCTCAAAGCTCTTAGTAAAAGGCTATCCCAATGGTCTAGGTATGAAATTGGGGACATTAATGAAGCTGTTACCAATTGGGAAGATAAACTTCAGGAGTTGAAGGACATTGATATAGAAGATAACTCGGAAAAGAGTAGAGAAGATGTCAACATGGCTCATGCTCAGTATATTAGATGGCTCAGTCTTCAAGAACCCATACTTAAACAAAAATCTCAAATAAAGTGGTTTGAAGAAGGGGAAAAGAATACCAGACACTTTCATTCCATCCTTATAGAGAAGAGAAGAAGGCAACAAATTAATCGCATAAAAAACAGTAGAGGAAGCTGGATTAAGGGAGATGAGAAGATAACCAGAAAAGCTGTGAGACATTTTCAAACCATCTTTAACCTCACCCCACCTATAATTAACAATTCTATCCTAGATTGTATTCCTTTTTGTGTTTCAGGTGATGACAATAAAATGCTTAGAAAGGCCCCATAGCAAGATGAAATCAAGGAAGCAATATTTAGCCTCAGCCCTCACAACACAACAGGACCAGATGGCTTCAATGACACCTTCTTTCAGAGTTGCTGGAAAATAATTGAGAGGGAAGTCATTGTTTTTGTGAAAGATTTCTTCAAAGGAAAATGTTTGACCAAATTTTATTCTCATACTTGTTTGGTTCTAATTCCTGAAATTGACAATCCTACTACCTTTTCTGACTTTAGACCCATTAGCTTATCCAACTTTACTAACAAGATTATCTAAAAAATTATTTCTCTTAGAGTTAACACTTTGTTGCATAAAATAGTTTCCCTGAACCAAAGTGGCTTTGTTAAGGATAGACTCATCTCAGGAAATATTTTGTTAGCTCAGAAAATTATTCACAATAATTCTCAATGCAATAATGGGGGTAATGTTATCATTAAATTGGAGCACTTAGAAAATTTATTTTTTCTGATAATTGGATTGGTTTGGTGCACAATCTCATATCAAATGTATGGTACTCAATTATCACTAATGGTATGAGACATGGCTTCTTCACTTCTTCTCAAGAGCTTAAGCAAGGGGATCCTCTTTCCCCTAGTCTCTTTATTATTGTTGCTGAAGTCTTATCTAGATCTCTCAACTCTTTATATAAAAATCCTAACTTCACTCCATTCTCCATGCCCCCTAACATTCCTAGGATTAACCACCTTGCTTATGCTGATGATATTGTTATGTTCTGTAGTGGTGGTTCTACTTCTATCAAACTGGTCATGAATGTTATTGATAACTATGAAAGAAGTTCTGGTCAGCTAGTTAATAGGGACAAAAATTACTTATTAATTGCTCCTAATACTGCTGCCACTAGAATTAACAGGATTAGAAAATGCACTGGCTTTATGGATAAGAACTTTCCTTTTACTTATCTAGGTTGTCCATTGTATGTGGGTAGGAAAAAGATTGACTTTTTTGATAACATGATTAGCAAAATTGTGAAAAGGCTTAATGGCTGGCAAGGCAAAATGCTTTCTCATGGGGGTAAAGCTACTCTAATTAAGAGTGTTCTTTAGTCTATCCCAGTGTACACTCTTTCTTCTATGACTCCTCCTAAGGAATTATTTAGGTTAATTGAGAAATATTTTGCTAATTTCTTCTGGGGTTCCTCTGAGGATCACAAGAAATATTATTGGAGTTCTTGGAACCATCTTGCCCTCCTTCTTGATGAAGGAGGCATTGGCATTAGAAAAATGGAAGATATTAGTAATATGTTAGATATGAAAAGGCGGTGGAGGATAAGGTCCACATCATCTCTCTAGGCCACTTTCATTAGAAATAAATATTGTGTCAGATCTTATTTAGTCTCTAAAAAGCTTGCTCCAGGTAATTCCCATGCCAGAGTCATGTTCTCAAAATGAGAGATATTGCAAAAAATCATATTGTGTGATAGGTGAATTCTGGCTCTAATAACTTCTGGTGGGATAATTGGTCGCTTAAAGGCCCCTAGCAAAACAGTTCCCTGATACCCCAAAGAATTCCAAATCTTTGGTAAAGGAATTCATTTCTGATGGTCAATAGAATACCAACAAGTTGAAGGAGCTCCTACCAGATCATCTGGTTCACCATATCCAAATCATTCCTATTGGCAACCAAAACAAGGATGGTCAAATATTTTGGATACTCTCGGATAATGGCAAGTACACAAATAAAAGTGCATGGAATCTGGTAAGGAAATATAGTCCAAAAGTTCAATTCATAGACAAGGTATGGAAATCTACTATTCCTTTTAAAATGTCATTTCTAGTATGAAGGCTATGATATAGCAAACTCCCTTTTGATGATGTGATTATTAAATTTGGCAAACACATTATTTCCAGATGTAACTACTGCAATAATGTGACGATCCGACCGGTCGTCTTAAGAATTTAATACCCAGATCCCCTATTGACTGCTTTTCCCGAGTTTATTTCTACTATTTTGATTTGCCGGGATGTTCGACTTCGAGTTTCGGAGAGTTTCAAGACACTTATCCCTAAATGAGAGCTTAAGTATTGGAAAGTTGACTGTAGTCGGAACAGTATGAAGCGACTTCAGAATGGAAATCCGATGGTTCTGTCAGCTTCCTTGGGTGATTTCGGGCTTAGGGGCGTATTCAGATTGTGTTTTGGAGGTCCGTAGCGAATTTAGGCGTGAAATGCAGAAAGGTCGAATTTTAAAGTTTCCGGTTCGATAGTGAGATTTTGATCCGAGGGTCAGAATGGAATTCTGGAAGTTGGAGTAGCTCCGTAGTGTTGAATGTGACATTTATGCAAAATTTCAGGTCATTCGTACGAGGTTTGATAGACTTTTTGATCGAAAGCGTATTTCTATAGTTTTTGGGATTCTTAGGCTTGAATCCGATGAAAAATAGGTGTTTTGATGTTGTTTTGAGCATTTCGAAGGTTGGAACAAGTTTGAATAAAGTTATGGGATATGTTGGTAGGTTTGGTTGAGGTCTCGGAAGCCTCGGGATGATTTCGGATGGTTGACGGAAAGATTTTTGGAATTTGGAGTTGCAGCTTCAGTTGTTCTTTTGTCATAACCGCACTTACGAGTGTGGGACCACAGGTGTGGAGCCGTAGAAGTGGCGAATCGATTGCAGAAGCGGAAATGGGGAAGTTCAGCAGGGACCGTAGAAGTAGTAAGATTTTCGCAGGAGCGGTACCGCATCTGCGGAAGGGGAATCGTAGATGCGGAAGATGGGTTTTAAGTGAGAAGTCACAGATGCGACCTGTGTTTCGCAAAAGCGGGACCGCATATGCGGTAACAACTGGGCAGAAATATGAAATTTCGAGGGTTTAGTTTCAAAAGTTGATAATTCGATTTGGAGCTCGGGAGAGGGCGATTTTGAGAGGAAATTGAAGAGGAGATAATTGGGTAACAATTCTTTAACCCTTTCTAGTTATATTCCATCAATCTATAGTTAGTTTCATCATTTAAATTCGGATTGGAGATGAAAATTGGGGAAACGTTGGAAGAAAGTTCTTAGACTTAGAATTCGGCTTTTGATTGGGAATTTGACCTTAGATTTGGATAATTTTGGTATGTATGAACTCGTGAGAGTATGAGGATTCTGAAAATATAAATTTTACCTGATTCCAAAATGTGGGCCCGAGGGACATTCTGGTCATTTTACCTAATTTCGCGTATTAGCTTAGGATTTAATTGTAGAATCAGTTACTTGAAGTGTTATTTGCATTATGAAATTGAATTGAATAGGTTCGGGCCATTTGGAGTCGAGTACTCATGGCAAGAGCGTGGTTTCAGATTAATTATTGAGCCGGTTCGAGGTAAGTGACTTGTCTAACCTTGTGTGGGGGACTTTCCTTTAGGATTCGTCATTGTTGATAATTGAAATGCCTGGTGCGTGAGGTGACGAGTGTGTACTTGTGCTAATTATTGGAAATCCGGTCTTTTTCATTAAGTAATTACTAGTATGTTTTTTTTCCTATTTATTACTTGCACTATTAAGCCGTTGCTAGCTTAGGAAAGCATGTCTAAGTGATTTAATTGCCTTATTTGCTCAAACTGCTTTATCTAAATTCTGTGCAGCATGCTAGACTAGACTTACTTGTTTGCCTTAATATGAAATTTGACCTTTTTGAGAAATTTCCTGTTGCTGCTGTGTATTTACATTGGGACTATAGATGTGGAATTCCGGTAGCTCCCCCTTATTGGTTTACATTTGGGACTACGGATGTGGGATTCCGATAGATCCCCCTACACGGTTATATGGAACTACGGGATTGCACCCGGTAGATTCTCCCAGTACTGGGTATTTATATTTGGGACTACAGAACGGGATTCCGATAGATCCTCGCGCACTATGAGTTGGACTATGGGACAGTATTCCGGGAGAACTATTGGATATGTATATTTGAGACTACAGGACGGTATCCTAGGAGATCCCCGATGGATATGACTTGGTGCTGAGCTGTATTTTACTCCTGTGCTTACTTGCCTCTGTGTAGTTGTTGTTGTTCTTTATATCTTGTGTTACTTTTATTATTGTACTTATTTATACTGCTCCGTTCTACACTATCAAACTTTATACTTTATTTAATCTCAATAGGGCCCTAACTTTCATCGTCACTACCTAACCGAGGTTAGGCTTGGCATTTACTGAGTACCGCTGTGGTGTACTCATGCCCTTTCTGCGCATGTTTTTCATGTTCAGATCCAGGTATGTCAACTCAGTCCTACCACCCTTGAGGCGAGGAAACTGCTCTAGAGACGTTGAGGTACATCTGCCGCATCCGCAAACCGAGGAATCCCTTTCTATTCTCGGTTTTAAATATTAGCCCTTCTGTATTTCTTTTCTTTGTTAGATATTTTGGAGTTAGACACTATTAGATATTTAAAGGCTTGTGGTTCCATGAGTTTTCGGGTTTTGGGAAAGTGTATTAGATTCTGAGAGTTGTGTTGTATATGCCGAGCGATATCTTAAATACTATTCATTCGGTTATTTTGGCTTTTAATTAATTCTTCCGCAAGTTTCTTTTATTTTCCGCATTTGTTAGGCTTACCTAGTCGTAGAGACTAGGTGCCATCATGACAGTTCACGGAGGGTGAACTGGGGTCGTGACAAGTTGGTATTAGAGCTCTAGGTTCATAAGAGTCATGGATCACAAGCCGGTTTATTAGAGTCTCGCTGATTGGTACGGAGACGTTTGTACTTATCTACGAGAGGCTATGTAATGGTTAGGAAAATTTCCACTTCATTTGTTTTCTTTGTCGTGCGATATTTTGACATCATAATTCTAAAATTGTGTCTTCTATTCTCTCACAGATGGTGAGGATACATGCTACCCGCAATGATCAGGCACCCGCGCCCCTTACTGCAGCCTCTAGAGGCCGAGGCCAGGGTAGAGGCCGAGGATGCGCACGTGGTGCAGCCAGAGCACCTACGTGAGCTATCACCGAGGTAGCATCAACAGTTCTAGCCAGAGTCCAGGCACCTAATACGCCTACTGCTACTACTACTCCAGCACTTCAGGAGACTCTGGCACAGTTCATGAGTATGTACACCACTTTGGCTCAAGCAGGGTTGCTTCCCCTTGCTGCAGCTACGTCTCAGGACGGGGGAAGAGCACAGACTCCTGCCGCCCGCACTTCTGAGCAGCGAGTGCATGTTGAGCAGGTCCCTAAGATTATTCCTGTACAACCTGCAGTCCGAGATCAGCCCGAGGACAGGGCAGTGACTTCCGAGGATGAACAGTTGAGGCTTGAGAGGTTCAAGAAGTACAAGCCTCCTGTATTCAGTGGTCTCGCATCGGATGATGCTCTAGGATTTCTAGGTGAGTGTTACCGCATTCTCCATATCATGGGTATATCACGATCGAGCGGGGTTTCCTTTACTACCTTCCAACTTCGAGGAGCCGCCTATGAGTGGTGGCGCACCTATGAGTTAGACAGTCCAGATGAGGCTACTTCACTAACTTGGGCTTAGTTTTCAGATCTTTTCCTGAGAGAGTATGTTCCTTAAAGCCTTAGGGACGCATGGCGCGCAGAGTTTGAGCATTTGCGCTAGGGTACTATGGCCATCTCAGAGTATGCTGTCCCTTTTTGGCTAGGCATGTACCAGCCTTGGTTTCTACTATTCGCGAGAGGGTTTGCCGGTTTATTGAGGGGCTTATTCCCATCATCAGGTCTAGCATGTCTCATGAGTTGGAGATGAATATTTCTTATCAGCAGGTGGTGAGCATTGCTAGGAGGATTGAGGGTATGCATGCTAGGGAGAGAGAGGAGAGGGAGGCCAAGGGGTCTCGAGAGTCGGGCCATTATTCTTGTGCCCGTGCCCCAGCTGCAAGTCGTCATGGTAGGGGTATATTTTTCGCCCTATTCATTCAGCTCTTCCAGCAGCCAGTGGTATTCGAGCTCCTCCTAGGCCTCAGGAGCCTTACTATGCACCTCCGGTTTCTAGCGCGCCTCTTGCGTGGGGTGCTTTCAAAGGTCAGTCCAGCAGACCTGGCCCGAGCTAGTCATAGCTGCCGCGCCCTCCCAGAGCTTGTTTTGAGTGTGGTGACACATGCCA